CAATTAGTTCATTTTACAGGTGCAGATTTGGAGGAAGTATAGCCAGAATGCTTCTCAGAAGCAAGGGTGGCAAGACTGTATCTTGTTTACTTTGTACATGTGATCAGGAGGGACCGATTGCTGAAGAAGGACATCATGCTTGGTAAAGTAGAGGGTCAGCACAAAAGAGGGAGACCCTCAGTGACGTGGACTGACATGGTGGCTGCAGTAATGGACTCAAACATGGCAATGGTTGTGAGGATGGTGCGGGACTAGGTAATATTCTGTTTTGTCATACATAAGGTCACTATGAGTTGAAGCAAACTTCACAACACCAATTTTACAGTTGAGGAAATAAAAATCACAGTCATTTGTTTTTTTAAAGTCCAAATACGGCACTAAAATGCAAATTAGGAGTCTTCATTGTTGTTTCCCTTTTATCAGTAAGAGTAAAGATTTCATGTTTGGCACTAAACTTGAATAAGTGCTGGTGCTTCTTTTGAATGAAGTGATTGTTTTTAATGCATTTTATTGAAATATAATTTATGTACAGTGAAATACATAAAACTAAAGTGACATGGGTCAATTATTTTATTTTATTTTTGCAGTGATCCCTCTCCTCACCTCCCACCCCTGGCAACCAACAAAGAACGTTTCCCTCCATAAATAAACCTTTCCTTGACACTCCATAACAAGGAATTAATACTATATTTGTCCTTCTGTGATTGACTTATTTCACTCAGCATAATGTCCTCCATCCTGGAGGAAGTGCAGCCAGAGTGCAGCCAGAATGCTCCTTGGAAGCAAGAATGGCCAGACTTCGTCTCACCTATTTTGGTCATGTTGTAAGAAGGGACCATTCCCTGGAGAAGGATATCATGCTTGGTAGGGTGGAGGGTCGACGAAAGAGGGGGAGGCCTTCAACGAGATGGATTGATATGTTGGCCGCGATGATGGGATCAAGTATAGCAGGGATTGTGGGGCTGGCGCGGGATAGGGCAGTGTTTCGTTCTGCTGTGCATGGGGTCGCTCTGAGTCGGAAACGACTCGACGGCACTTAACAACAACAACAACAACAATGTCCTCCAAGTTCATCCATATTATGCAGTGTTTTGCAGACTCTACATTATTCTTTAGTGCTGCATAGTGTTCTATCATGTGTATGTACCATAGTTTGGTCATCCACTCTTCTGCTATAAATCTTAGAGATAAGTTCTTGGCCAGATATGTAATTATCAGCAAATACGAATTTGTTGCTGTCATTTTTGTTATGTGCTTTTTTTGTGGCGTTGATTTCTTTATTCCATATAATTTTCTATGCTGAGCTCGTTCTGTTTATGAATCATGTCATCACTTCCTTCATTGCTATTGTTTTAGTATTTGCTGAATATTTATGCTGGTCCCCTTTTTTGTTGTAAAGGTTTATAATTTTTCTTTGAAGTTACCCTGTGATTTATACTTTTCTTCCCAAGCTTAGAATAGTCTGTTCTATCTTGTAGTTGTCTTGACTTCCCTACCATCTAGAAGTTCTGTAATGACACAGCTAAGTCATATTTGGCTTTTTGGAAAATTGTTCTTTAATTGATTACTGGTGCTTGCCAGATGAGAGTAATTATATCATGACCAGATATATGTGATCACTTTCCTTACATAAATGGTGTTTCAGACACTAGAAGGAAAATTTTTTCTTTTTTAGTTTGGTTTGGAAATCATACTGATTATTACACAGGAGAATAATGATAAAAGTATTGTTTCAAGAAAATGAATTTCTTTCTAGTTTTCTGCATAATTTCAAAGAGTACCAAATAACCCTGAAGCTGGAATTAGAGTAGGAGTGCTACTGTTTGATATTCAGCAGGAGCTGATGAGTGAGTGAAGCAGAGCAATGACCTTTGAATCAGAATCAAGAATTGATAAAAAGCAACAGCCTGTAATAAAAGGAAAGGGAAAGCTAATTTACATTTTTTTCTCTACCATATCTCTTATGCCTAGAAAAATACCTGGGCATAGTTAAAGCTTAATAATTTTATGTTTAATAAAATTCAGTTACAAGGACTTATTTCCATAAAGAAGAACTAGAGAAAGTGAAAATTACTTCATTCTGCTAATGAAGACGGTTAACATAGCCAATCTAATACACAGATTAAAGCTTCTCAATTAAAGCCTAGTTCAGGACATTTAATATTTTCCTTTAATATCAGGAGTCTTCGGATCCCTGGGTGATGTAGTTTGCCTTTGGCTACTAATTAAAAGTTTAGTGGTTCGAATCTACCCACTTGTGCCACAGAAGGCCTGACAATATGCTTCCAAAAGATTACAGCTAAGAAAACCCTGTGGACCTCTGTTGAACTCTGAAGTACATGCAGTCACTACAAATCAGAATACATGTGATGACAACAGTATAT